ATCAACTGCTTCTCCCACCCCCACCCCCCCACCAACTGCGTCCCCACCCCCCATCTCAACGGCTTCTCCTACCCCACCCCCCCACACAACTGCTCCACCTCCCCCCCATCACTGCTTCTCCACCCCCATCCCCCCACCAACTGCTTCCCCCCAACCAACTGCTTCCCCCCCCCATCAAACTGCTTCTCCCTACCCCTACCTCAACTGCTTCCTCGCCCCCCACCAACGTGCTTCCCCCCCCACCCAACGCTCCGACACCCCACCCCCCATCAAACTGCCTCTCTCCCTACCACCACTCTGCTTCCCCCCCCCCCCATCACTGCTTCTCCCACCTCCCACCCCCCCCACCAACTGCTTCCCACCCACCCAACTGCTTCCCCCCCCCCCCCATCAACTGGCTTCTCCCTACCCCTACATCAACTGCTTCTCTCCCCCCCACCAACTGCTTCCCCCCCCCCACCCCACCACCTGATTCCCCCCCCCCCCATCAACTGCTTCTCTCCCTACCACCAACTGCTTCCCCCCCCCCATCAACTGCTTCTCCCACCCCCACCCCCCCCACCAACCTGCTTCTCCTCACCCTACCACCCCCCCACCAACTGCTTATCCACCCCCACCCCCCCACCCACTGCTTCCCCCCCTCCATCAAACTGCTTCTCTCCCTACCACCAACTGCTCCCCCCCCCCCACATCACACTGCTTCTCCCACCCCCACCCCCCCCACCAACTGCTTCTCCTCACCCCCACCAACCTGCTTCTCCCACCCCCACCCCCCCACCAACTGCTTCCCCTCCCCCCCATCAACTGCTTCTTCGCTCCCACCCCCACCCCCCCACCAACTGCTTCCCCTCCCCCATCAACCTGCTTCCCCCCCCCCCCACCAACTTACCCTTTAATGACCGCGATCAGTTTAATTATCTATTATCCCGTTATTTGCGGACACGGCGGCGACTTAACCGTGCCTGCTTGTCGGGTGCAGAGGCAATTAGGGAGAAGGCGTTCGGACAGCAGCCAATTAAACTGCTGCTATAAAAATGCGAGCTTCAAGAGCCGAATTTGAGTTCACGGAGATGCGGATTGCACGACGCAAACGGGGCGATAGGATCCGTGCTGGCGTTAGCTATAGGATCCGTGCTGGCGTTAGCTATATGATCCGTGCTGGCGTTAGCTATATGATCCGTGCTGGGCCGTTAGCTATAGGATCCGTGCTGGCGTTAGCTATAGAGTCCGTGCTGGCGTTAGCTATAGGATCCGTGCTGGCGTTAGCTATAATGATCCGTGCTGGCGTTAGCTATAGGATCCGTGCTGGCGTTAGCTATAGGATCTCGCGCTGGGCGTTAGCTATAGGATCCGCGCTGGCGTTAGCTATAGGATCCGCGCTGGCGTTAGCTATAGGATCCGTGCTGGCGTTAGCTATAGATCCGTGCTGGCGTTAGCTATAGGATCCGTGCTGGCGTTAGCTATAGGATTCCGTGCTGGCGTTAGCTATATGATCCGTGCTGGCGTTAGCTATAGGATCCGCGCTGGCGTTAGCTATAGGATCCGCCGCTTGGCGTTAGCTATAGGATCCGCGCTGGCGTTAGCTATAGGATCCGTGCTGGCGTTAGCTATAGGATCCGCGCTGGCGTTAGCTATAGGATCCGCGCTGGCGTTAGCTATAGGATCCGTGCGGGCGTTAAGCTATAGGATCCGTGCTGCGTTAGCTATAGGATCCGTGCTGGCGTTAGCTATAGGATCCGTGCCGCGCATTGCATTTGGCGGTGCGCCGCGCGTGTCCCCGTGTGTGCTTGCTGCGTGGGGGAGCGTGGCGCAGTGGTTGGCCGCGGCCGCGTGGACCCTGCGTTCTGATGTGTGAGCGGCGCCTTCCGCCGTGTGTGTGTGTCTTCAGTTTGAGGAGCGGTGGCGCAGTTGTTGGCGCGCTGCGCTACGAACCCTGTCGTGTGATGGCGCATTTGTTTGTTCAGGGAGCGGTGGCGCAAGTGGTTAGTGCAATGTACTACGAACCCGGCGGCGCGTGATGAGTTTGAGTATTTGTGCATTGGGGAGCGGTGGCGCGGTGGGTAAGCGCGCCCCAACGCGATGGCCTTCGCATGTACGCGGACCTTCTTTCGCACCTTACCTAGCCGACCGTGCTCTCGGGCGTGCGTGCGTTCTGCGTTGGCATTCGGGAAGCGGTAACGCCGGTTCTGCGGGTGCCGCGCGTGCCCACGCACGAGTGCGCGATCGTCTTCGTGTCCAGGGGAGCGGCGGGTGGCACAGCGATTAGCGCACCGCGCTAACCACCCGGCGGTGGGATAATACGTGCCCGCACGCGCGGTGTGCGTTTGCGTGCGTTCGGCAGAAAGCGGTTGGGCCAGAACGGTGCGCGCTACGACTCGACTCGCCAACGGTGGCGAGCGGTATCCGGATCAATCCTCGGCCTCACTCTCCTAGGTCGATTTTCCAGCCTCGAATAATTGCCACCGGTTGGTGCGTAAAACATCATCGCCCTTCTCGTGCGCCGTGCTGGACTTAATAGTTGCTCGCTTGTTAACGCTTACCGCCAACAGTTTAGAAGGCTATACGGGGATATTTGTACTTTGTGTGTGTGTGTGTGGAGCGGTGGTGCAGCGGTTAGCGCGCAGCACTACGAACCCGGCAAAGCCGAGTTCGATTTCGGCTCATGGCCAAACACCGGTGACGATTATCCGAACCGGTCCTGGGCCTCTCCCTAGGTCGACTCGGCATCAGTGCCTGGTGCGGTGTGTAGTAAAACATCAGCATTGGGGAGACAAAGGCGGCTGGGCATGGTGTTGGCCACCCATCACCAACCACGTGTGCCGTTGCTGGTCTCTGTTCAGGTGCTCTCGAATCGCAACTTGTCCTCAACATTATGTTGAAGGCTACACGGGGCATCTTTGCAGTTGTGCGTATGTGTGTGTGTGTGCGATGCGAGCAGTATAGATTACAGTAATTATGTTGTCTGTTACTCTGACAATATATTGCTGCTTTTGTGATCTGTGCAGTTAAGAAAATACCAATTTGGAATGTCAATTGCAGAAACCAAAGGTAGGGAATAATACGTGCGTCGACATTTCTTGCAGACGAAAACAAATACGTTTTGTAAATTACCAATGTACAGTTCTTTTGTATCCTGCGCTATGATTGAATATGCTTTAGGCCCAGAACTCTATTCGAGCGTAGGGCAGCAATATCTTTCAAAGCTAAATGCCACTGTCGAGGTCCTTGGTAGTTTAAATTCAATTTCGCTAAATAAACATCCAATGCACTCGCTGGACCACTTTGCTGTTGTTACTGCACTACACATCGGCCCCCTCACAGTGTTGGTGGGGTAGTTTAAAGCTTCTTAGGTTTTTTTCGGTAAAGTCACGTAGGTAAAAAATTAAAATTAATAAAAGTAAAATAAAAATAAAATAAAAATCACGACGTTTCGGAGGCAACACAAGCTTCCGTCTTCAGGTGGAACTGTCACAGCACGATCGCTGTATCAAGTGAGAGAAACGTCGTGATTTTTATTTAATTTTATTTTACTTTTATAAATTAAATTTTTCACCTACGTGACTTGACCGGAAAAAACCTAAGAATATGAATCCTTGCAGTCACGAAAGCTTCAAATCTAAAATTAGTTTAAAGCTCTTACATCCTGAGGACATCATCAGGCAACCAAAGGGGCATTTGTTTAAACCCGGCTGATTAGACTCACAAGTTTAAGCGTGCTTTGTAATCGTAGCATGCAGCAGATTCGTCCGCTATTAATTTAACAATGCAGACTTCAAGAGTCGATCGTGACTGCCCTGTCGTTTCATTCCGATGACATTCTTCTGCTTATTCTTCTTACACAACGGAATGGGGAGAGGGGGGTGTTGGGGGGGGGGCTCCTGTCTCAGCGAATCGAGATGTGGCAGCAACATCGTTGACCAGGCATCGCCACGACCACCATCATCGTCGTTGGCCACGCTCTCTCCACTGCTGGATGAAGGTCGCCTCCCCCACCCCTCACCTCGCACACAGTCACGATAACTGTGGTCGTCTCGCCGTGCAAGAATCCATCTGTGCGGCGGTAGTCCTCTTCCCCAAATTCAGTGACTAACAAGTCGTCGTTTTACCCTACGCAGCCTTTCAGACTTGATACACGATGACCAAATATAGTTGTTATAATTTGGCCCGAAAAAAAAATCTCTCAGTGGAATGATGCAAGTAAAATACGTGGCATATATGTTACGTGTACATTGCAATAATTTAGATTTCAAATACACTTTGTGTATATATATTTTTGTCAACGTTTAGCGCTACATTCAGTGTACAGCATACACAACCCTATATGTACACTGTAGTGTACACAGCAACATGTGTTTAATATTATATATACAAATTATAACAAATATAGCAAGTGCACGCTAGTTTAACTGCTAATGATATTGGAAAATATGACGAGTTAGGCAATGTG